ATTTATTTATACTTCACTTATATAAATAAAATATTATCTCATTATTTATATAATGAGTATTAATTTTATCTATATAAGTAAAATACAAATAAACACGAATTTCATTATAAAAAATAATTAAAATTTTTTTTACAACAAATTTAATATTTATTTGTACTTAACTTATATAGATAAAAAAAAATATTATTTTGGTTACACAATGAGAGCAATCATTTTTTATCGCTTATCTCACTCTATCTGCATGTCATGCGATTCGAATTTAAGATTTTTTACTTTCAATGAAAAGAAATAATTTTTGAATTATTTAAATAGTTTATTATATAAATAAAATATTAATATATCATTATTTATATGATAAATATTAATTTTATCTATACAAATAAATTTCAAATAAACGTTAATTTTATTATAAAAAATTATTAAATTATTAAATTATTACAATTAAAAATTTAATAAAAATTTAAAATAATTTTTGAAACTTAACGTAAGATTTCACCTAAAGTAAAATCATTTCACTTGGTTTTGCTGGTCCCGCGAGGATATAAGAACAAAATTATCGGTTTGATTAGATTACAAACAAAATCAATGGCGCGAAACCCCCAATGTACGCTTGTATCGCACGAGGTGTCAGTGTACGGTTCCACCGCTCCCACACGGGGCAACCATCGCCACATGATCGCACCCGTTGCTAATCATAAGACCACAGACAAAAGACGCGCCTTGCCAGCCTGGCATCAAGCTGGAAGGTCCCACACACCATTCAAAAATTTTTAAATGACTACAATGCCCTCCTAAGGTCCAGAAACAAACACTACCGTACTTATTTCGTCACCCAGCGTCTCAGCATTGTGTTCCCCTCTTTCCTCACATACACTCACATCTCGGCGTCACTGCCATGCCGTCGAAGATTCACCACCTCCTGCTACTTCTGTCGATCGGAATCTTCATCTGTGCTGCGGAGGTCCCGTCTTTCAGAGAAGCACCTGCGTTTCGTAATGGAAGGGAATGTCCGAAAACGGCGTGGTCTTCCATCGACAAGGAGTCATACAATCCCTTGATCATCCACATCGCGATGACGTTAGACACTGCTTACCTCCGTGGCTCAGTCGCTGGTGTTTTCTCTGTGCTGCAGCACGCGTCCTGTCCGGAGAATATCGTCTTCCATTTCATCACCACGCAACGGAGCGGCGCTGAGCTCGAGCGCTCGATCAACTCCACTTTTCCGTACCTAAATTTCCATCTCTACCACTTCAATGCCAATCTCGTCAAGGGCAAGATCTCGTCGTCCATTCGCAGGGCACTGGATCAGCCGTTGAATTACGCCAGGATCTACCTGGCCGATCTGCTGCCAGCTGGCGTCCGCCGCGTCATTTACTTTGACTCTGATCTCATTGTCGTCGATGACGTGGCGAAGCTGTGGAACATCAATCTGGGGAGCCACGTATTAGGGGCGCCCGAGTACTGCCACGCCAACTTCACCAATTACTTCACCCCGAAATTCTGGTCAAATCCGTTATTTGCGGCGACTTTTAGAGGAAGGAAGCCGTGCTACTTCAACACTGGAGTAATGGTGATCGATTTGTGGAAATGGCGGCAGGGGAGGTACACGGAGAAACTGGAGAACTGCATGAGGATACAGAAGAGGTACAGAATCTACGAGCTAGGGTCGCTGCCCCCGTTCCTGTTGGTATTCGCTGGCGACGTGGAAAGAGTGGAGCACAGGTGGAACCAGCACGGGTTGGGTGGGGATAATCTGGAAGGGCTGTGCAGAGATCTGCACCTGTCACGGGTTCTAGCCCAGGCAATGACTTTCATTCCCCTCCCCCTCCTCCATTGTAGTATATAGTATGTACTAACTGCCCTCTTTCAAAAGGGAGGAAAA